TATGCCCCTATAGGAGCTAAGGAGTTATACCTGTCCTTAATAAGGCTAATAGGTAGTATTAGTAGTAGTAGTATATAGTCTTTTAGTTTATTAAGGGTATAGTAGTTTATAATTATAAGTATATAGGTAGGTATATTAAAGAATAGTTAATTATACTAGTACGCTAGTTATACTTATAACTAGTAGGTAGAGTTAGTTAGAGTTAAAGTAAAGTAGCCTCTCTTTAGTAGTAGTCCTAGACTATAGGACTAATTATTTAGGTCTGCTAACTATAGGTTATCTACCTATCTTTAGTATTACTTAGTGCAGATTAGACTATTATAGGCGTAGTAGGGCCTAGACTACCTAAACTTAATCTTTATATAGTATTAGGGGATAACCTTATATTCTTAATTACTTATAGTCTTTCTTTCCTTTAGAGTATTTAGTAATATTTACTTACTAGTAGTAGAGGTTCTCTTTACCTAGCTATCTCTTAAGACTTTATAATAGAGATATAATTAAAGGGGTTTCTTACTATAAATAAGTATAGGCTAGCAAATTAGGGGCGTTAGACACTATTTATAGTAGCCTTTTTAAGCGTTATAGAGACTCTTTTAACCTCTTTCTAATAGAGGTAGGACTAGCTTAGGCTACTCCTAGATAATCTACTCTACTTAAATCCTTGCTTAGTATTAGTTTCTCCTCCTTATGCCTTAGTTAGCCTTATAGACTAAGGATATTCTAAGAAAGGTTTCTAGGCTACTATAAGACTATATCGCTACTATTCTATATAAAAGAAAGCTAGTCTAACTAGTGTAGTCTAGGTAAGATAGCCTATTAATAGTATAGTTAGCTTGTTACTATCTGCTATTAAAGGGGTTTATACTATAAGATATACTATCTAAGATATAAACTTGCTATATTATAATAGATACGTAGTTCTCTATAGGATACTATATAGAAGGGTAATCTATTTCTCCTTATATAGGTTATCTAGTTACTACTAGATTTATCTATATAGGAAGGAGTAATTCTTTAATTATATAATATACTTATTTAATATATTCTATTATATTACGCTTATATATAATATATCTATTATAAGTTTATTAACACTAAATTAAATAAAAGCTTTTATAAAGATAATCTTAACTTTAATAGTGTACTATTAAAGATAAAGAGCCTCTTCTTCTATAACTAGGCTTTCTATAGTAGGGACTACTATATCTTGTAGTAGTTAACTAATATACATAACTGCCCTATTTTCTATCCTAAGCTAATGCGTATTAGTTCTATGCCTAGCCTAGGAAAATATATTAACGTGTGACATATAGTTAATAGGGTATCTAAAGGATAGATTACCCTACTTTTAGAATACTATAGTATAGTAGATAGGTTATTACCCCTAAATTTAGTAACTTGCGATATTATCCTCTTAAATAGTGTTATAGTTGCTATATTAATCTATATTAATTCCTAGTCTAGTATAACTTATATACTAATCTAGGTTATATAATAACTGCGTTTTAGCAAATATAAACTATATATAGCTAATATAGGTTAGCAAGAGTGTATTCCTAGATATTTATATCTTACTCTATTAATGCGACTATTATACTCTAGTATATAGAGGAGTAGGTAAATAAAAGGATATAGTATAAATCTGCGTAAGCTAATATAACTTATTAGTATTAGTTATAATAAGTAATAATACTATAATTATAGTAATATATATAAATCTATATAATAATATTCTAGTGTACTCTAAATTAATTCTTAACCCCTTACACACGTATATAATACAACACGTTAGCACACCCTCTCTATACTTACTATTATACTAATATAGCATAACTATAGTATAATAACTTATTATTTAATAACTATATTATAGAAGCATATTAGCATAAAGATATAGCTAAAGATAATATATTATAAGTAATAGCAACAACACTAGTATGCGTTATAATATAACAAGTGCACAAGTTACATATAATAATATACCCTTTCTATCTATAATAATATATTTATAATATATTAGCTTTACTTATAACCTTATCTACTATAAATGCTGCCTCTATTCCTAACACTATCCTATAGTTAATTTAGGATTTAAGATCCTATTTACACAAAATACTAGAACTATATAGTATCTACCTATAGCTAAAATTAGTAAGCAATAATCTAATTGCGGTGTAGGTAGCAATATATACGCCTAAAGTGTTTACCCTATAGATTCACACGTTTATAGTTAGTAAGAAGGGTATTAATAACCTTAACAAGTATATCTGCAAGGCTATAGATATATACTTTAATATAATCTAAGACTAACTATTTAGCTATATTTCTAACTCTAAGTAGACTAATATATAGGATACTATCCTTACTAAGTATTTATTTTTTAGATATTTTAATAGAGTATAGGTATTAAAATAGCTTATATAGCAGACCTAGATATATAGGAATAAGAACTAACACTTTAAACTAAAACGCAAGTATATTGTCTACCTCTTTAAATATACTAATCTTACTATTATAAAGGAGCTATTGAACCGTCAGGGAGAGTAACCTATTCAAACGAGGAGAAGTGGGAGGGGCAAGGTTCAATAGTAGTGGTGCTATGGTGGAGGATATGGTTCAATGCGGGAACATGAGTGAAAAGATGATATTGTAAGGTTGAAGTGAAGTCTCTAAGAGTTGCCGTTCTCCTATCCTCTGATCCTTCATGCCTTTATACCATTCAATCCGCCCAACCTTTTAGGCTAAGCCTTGTTTTTCTCCCATACATCCCTCACCACGGCACACTATTATATATAATTATGCTATACTAGGCAATAGTATTACTACCCTAATTACTTAAATATTTACTATCCTATAAGGCCCTAGCCTAGGGAGGTCTATTATATATAGAGGTCTATATAGATACTAGTAGCTAATATCTAACTTTATTTATAGTAGTTTAGGTATATGCTACAACTATATAGTAGCCTAGTTAGGATTCTATAGTAACACTCCCTAATATTTAAACTAAGACTTATTATAGGCTATAAGTAAGCTAGTATTACCCTATCCTATTAAATATATATAAAGATAATATCTACTCTAAACTAAATATACTAGTAGTATTACTAGCTTTAAAGACTAGGGTGCCTAGGATAGTAATAGTAGCGTTTTTAGGGGTTAGTATCCTAACCTAATAGTTAGTGTGCCCCTAGCTAGTAGTATTAGATTATAATAAGTACTAGTATAGCTAGATATAAGACTATAAAAGCAAACCTATTTATATAGTATACTAGCCTAACTAAATAATTCTACTCTAGATACTTATAAAAACACGCCTATAGAAGATAACTATAATACACTACTAGATATATAACAACGCTAACCTTATACTATTATAGACTTTTTAATAGAGACTTTAGATTCTACTCTACTAATATAGACTTGCAAGAATACACGCGTTAGGAATATAAAGGCTAGGCGTAACTATATAACTAAAGCTAAGGCTAAAGGTAATAGTAATAAGAGAAATACTTCTAGAGTATAAGGCCTAAAATTATAGTAGTCTCTAATATAAACTAGAGCATCTATTATAGATGCCCCTTATATAGATAGTAGTAGTATAGGAGAGCTAAATAATAGTAATAGTAATAATAGCGTCTAGGTTTATAGATAATTATAATATAAGAGGGTCCTAACTATATAAGTTAAATAATATATATATAATATTAGTATATATAAATAATATAATATAATATTACTATATATCCTACACTACACAAGCTTACTATATTATACTACCCCTTTACTACTATATATAATATAGTATATATAATAATATATATATATACCTAACTTTAAACTAATATACTACTAAAGAAATATATAATATATATAGTGTAAGCAACTAACTTGCCCTAGAATATTTATAATATAGAGTATAATCTTTAGTAATACTACTATATTATAATATAGGAGTATTATTATAATAGGCGCCTTTATAGAACTTACTAACCTATTATTATAGGATATTTTAGATTGTAATTTTATATACTAGGTATACTACCTAGTCTCTTAGTTATTATTATAGCGTACCTAGGCAGCAGTATGCTGCATGCCTATACTACCTAGGTATCTACTAGTACTACTTCCTATATAGTAACCCTACTAAATTATGCCTACTATATACCCTCTATCTATACTAAATTTTCCCCCTAGGTGCTATATATCTATCTACTATATAACCTGTAATTAGGTATATTATATAAACTGTGTTTAAATAGACGCTAAAGTTAATATATATAATACTAATAATATATAAACTAAAAAGTAGTTTACCTTTATAGAATATATAGTATAGTAAACCCTATTTAGGTTTACTTCTTATACTTAAACTACTTTATAGTCTACTTTAGATAAATATAGCTACTGTAAACCAGTTTTGTACTGTAGTGGGAGACTAGAACACGTTTTTCCAACACGTGCACTAACAAGTTATCTAGAGTCGCGTCGAAGTTGCACTTTACGCGTCCCTGTCGTGATGTCATGGCAGATCCCCACAGCTAGCGCTAGCGCGATCGCCTATGATGGCAATCTACTCCTTTTCCATCACCACAAATTCCCTAACCTCTTGTACTCGGTCCATGCGCGCGCGATAAGCCTATATTTAGTTTCGATTTGTTCTGTGCACTTTCCTGATGAGATACTGCATTTGATCGGGTGCCCAATCAGCACTTTCCCATGTAGCCATCCGCGATCGCACCTGAAGATCTGTAGGAGATTTATGACATCGTTGCTGTGGAGAAGACAAAGCCACAATGTCTAATGTATGATCTAGGCGTAATATGACATATCATGGTCTGGGAGATGGTTGGAAGGTTTTGACATGAGGGTAAAATGGGCAGTTAAAACCACAGAGTTGACCGCCAGGTTTCAGTTTCTTCAACTAGGCTGTTTCCTTTTCTAAAAACAAATGTCATCATATAGACCGTTTTTTGGTCTTCTACTACAGTGTAATTATGACAAAGACCAGCAAGAATCCAAATAGAACCCATGTTCTCAACTTCTTTTACGATGACGAAGATAGTAGTGCATTGACAGTCCTTGTTAATGACGTCCGCTTTCACATCATTATCAACCCCAAAGACCTTCAAAAGTCGCACGAAAAACCCATATATTACGAATGCCCGGACAAAGTCTCTGCGTTGTGTAAAGCTGAAGAACGAGGAGAGCAAGCCACAGAAGACGCGCAATCGAAAAGTCCCAATGGCAAAAACGTTCACAACGGCGGCTCAGGCGACAGCGGCATCGATGTAACCGCCGTTGAAGAAGATGACACCGCAGACGACCAAGACCAAGTCTCTGTTAGTGCAGGCGTAGAACCGCAAAATTGGATATTATCCGCCTTGGGCGACATCACAGAGCAATACGCGCCTCCCCACCGCGAACCAGAAGAAGCAACACTATATGGTTGGTACCACGGCCCAGCCTACTTCTACAACATGAGCATTTCCTCTGGCGCCCTGACTCCCGCACTACTCCAAACAACCGACGACCTCAGCCAACGCATTGCCAACCTGATATCGAAATGGAAAATACCAAAATGCTTGCAAAACGACAACATCCCCCCTTTTCAACCCCAGCAGCCTCCTCGTAAACTCTGAAATCAGCCTGCCCGAACCCGCACACCTGGGCAAACTCACGCACTGAGACAGCGGAGACGTGTACGTTTTCAAACCCGTCGTCTCGGACAAGCCCGCCAGCACAAAACGCGAAATCGACATCCTTTGGAAAATCCAAGGCCTCGAGTTGGATATCAGAGCACCCCGTCTGCTCGGCTTTGTCGCGCACGAGACCAGTAAGACGGAAATCATGGGTTTTCTTCTCTCCCACATCGAGGCGCCACCACCGCTCACCACACTCTTGAAAGCAAGTGTTCCCGCTGCGTTACGCGAGGCCTGGGCGCTCAAAAGCAAGGCCTATGTCTAAACCCTCCACGCCCACGACATCGTCTGGGGTGATGCCAAAGCAGATCACGTCATCGTGGATGCACAAGACGAGCTGTGGATTATTGATTTTGGAGGCAGCTATACCGAGGGTTGGGTGGATCCTGAGCTTGCCGAGACGCTGGAGGGGGACGAAATGGGTCTGGATGAGGTAGTTGCTGCGTTGGAGGATCCGGAGAGGAATACATTTGAGTCCGTGGGACTTGGAACAGGGAGTGAGGGGGAGACGACTTTGTCAAGAGAGGGGTTGGAGACGGCAAGTGGGTTGTTTTGTTACGGAGAGGAGGTCGGCCGGGGGTGAGGTGGAGGTAGATGGGAATGCTAGGGAGAAAAGGAACCGCGAGGATGATGAGGGTATGGATGGGGAAGTCAAGGGAAGCAAGAGGAAGCACGAAGGTGGAGATGAGAATACCCCCAAGGAAGAGTAGAAGTGTTCGCTGCACGTTGCATTTTACTTCACTACCTGCTAAACACCACATCTAGGTCTAATATAATAATATGAAAAGGCACCTATTGCAGTCAATCTTCTGAGATTTGACAGTGATGCACCAAAGATAGATGGTATTGATGCCGTGCGTCACATTGCGAACATGCAAACCTGAATATGAATGACGAGCAATTCATCATCATACACAAGAGCAGACGCGGACGCAAGTTGACAACCGACATCGGCCATTTAGACAATTGGAAGTTCACCACCAGCATTGACAAAGTCTTGGCGTAGTGTTTCGAATGGTTGGAGAGATCCTCATGAATCGAATGATCATGCCGTCTGGTTACCGTTATGTCATGATCATTCTTCCCAGTAATCAACTCGGCAGGTAAGATAATGACAGTCAGAGTGAGGTTTCGACAGGATCATCTGGGGTTCTTTCAGGTCGGCAACTTTGGTATCGATCATGAAAGGGTGACTGGTATCGATCATGAAAGGGTGACTGGTATCGGTCGGTGCCACGACTATCTCCACCAAGCCCAAATCTTTGGTACTCATCGCCTCTACCTCTGGGGAAAACACCCCGAACTCTTCTCATGCAACGGCATGATCACTTAGACACTCTGGAGAAATCGTGCTAGTCAATTCCGGTTTGCTTTAAAAGGGAAGAGAACTCCATCGAAGCTCATGTAGATTCTGCGGTCCCTGATTCAGGCGTATACATATTTTGTAATGGCTTTCCTTTTTCCATCTTTATGAATACACGAGTGCTGCGAAATACTGGATCCGCTACCGACAGTATGCGACGCCTTGGGGTAATTCCATTCCATATACTACACACTTGGTTGCCGGTTAATTGCGTATGATTGTAACAACGCCTATCATCTGCAGTGAGATTACCATGATGATAGGGGATCGACGGAGCATGGTTGATTGGTAGATCATTAAGGTTAGCAGAGACATACCGTAATGATGTCGAAGTGCAGGACTCAGTGGTGTGTAGATATGGTTGCGCATTCACGAGAATGTGCTGCTCTCTGGACAGGACCTTGAACCCTGACCTGCATAGATGAAATACCGTGGGCCGTTTTTTGTCAAGGCCGTTCATGTAGAAGACTTCTACGTTGAGATGCAAGCTTGGAGCTTACACTCTCGCCCATATGGACTGTCCCTCTCTTTGCAACAATGCGTCTAAGCGGCCCCTCGTCGACCTTGAAACGACTCGTAAAAGCTCGGCTGAGATCCCAGCGCACATCGATGGATACAGGAACGCAGTCGATCAACCAGTAGACAGTCTCGAGTTTCTCTCGGATGATGCCCCAATTCTCACCAGCAATGAAAGGCGTTGGTCCAAAGGCAATGACGAGGGTCTGCACTTTAGGAAGGAGTGCAAAGAGATCTCGCATTGGGTCGGCTACAAAGGATATAGACGGGTAACGTTTCATGGTGGTTGTTTGTCCTGACAGGTAGGACACTTGTATTTCAAGCTTTCCAAAAAGTTGACGCGTCCTCGGGTTCATCATAGCGACCATGTCATAGAAGCGAGAGAGGTAATTGTTGCTGAGAGTCTGGCTTGCTTTGTCTCGCGCTGCTACGAGGAAGAGGGTGCGTTTCTCGTAGAAATACTCGACCACTTCGTCGTGTATCTGCTTGTTCGTGCGCAACACATCCAGACGAATGCGCGGTGTTTTGTGTTCACGATGTGGCTGGTATATCAGCGCAAGGTGAGCCTCGCGTGGTAACAAGTGAGAATATGTCAGGAGGCGGAGCTCAGCAGGTAGTTGTAGGAAAGGGAAAGGCTTGACTGTGCGAAGTTAACCAGATTGACGTCGCTTGGACGATTCAGGTACTTGCCTCTTGTCTCGAGCTCATTGAAGGCGCTGTCTAGATGTGTCTCGCATAAGGCATCTATCTGGGCAAGCAAAGGGCGTATTTCGGAAAAGGTTGGATCCACGCCCTTTCTAAAGTCCGAGACTTTGTACTCGTTCAGATATGGCCTGCCATGAAGCACAGAGCTGTATGCATTGACATAGACATTGGGGATGAGGTCTGGCCGTGACAAGCTCTTTACAAGCAGATAGAACTCTTCCGAGCCGTCCACGTAAACGGCTTCATGGAAGGGACGCGACTGGCACGCATTGATAGCGCTCTTCATGTCAACTTGGCCATTTCGATCAAGATTGAGATTAGACAGGGCCGCGTCTAAGGCCTGCAGCTTGAGCTTGACATGGACTGCATCTGTGACGGTGAAGCGCTCCAGCCGGGCCAGACGATGATAATGGCGAGGGATGGAAGATGAACGTGCACCGGAAGGCGTCATGGCATCAATGAACGGACTTTTCCTTGGATCGACACGCACTACAACAGCGTGAGTCTTTTTTGTCTGGTCTCGAAGGAAGATGACAGGAAGTAGGTAGTGGCGGTGGAATAAGCACCGGGCTGCCCCGCGCGCTAAGGCAAGTAGGTAGGTACAACAGAGACCAGAGACCCCACGCGGGGTGGGGGTGGGGGT